TTAAGTTTTGAATACTGTCTATGGAGGTGGACAATCAAGTCAACAAAAACAAAGAAAAAAATTATGTTCTAGCACAAAAGGAAGCTAATTTGGTCGCCTACAAAGATGCTACAGCTATTTCACTTTTCAAATCAAGCCGAACTACACCGGCCGCCATTTTGTATTGCCTGGAAGTTCTCGCTACTCTTTCTCTCTCTCTATCTCTTTCTCCCCACTCCCCTCCTCTCTCTCACTGCCCACAGACAAAATTGCATGCTTTCAACACAAGAGCCCTGAAACGTTTGTTTACACTGGTACCACGGTGAATGCGCACCGGGTGAGAATAGCCAAAAGACTCGCCTCGCCCAGTCACCCGGAGTGATCGGCCTGAGCCAATGCACTAAGTGGTGAACGCACACCGGGTGGGAATAGCCAGAAGATTTGCCCTCTCCTACAACCGCGTTATTCTCACCCCCGGTGAAAGGCTCACAACTGCACTATTTTCACCAAGGCCTTTTATGAATTAAAATCCCACTCCCTCTGTTTACATTAGCAGTGGGCGATCAAGATTGCAGATCTCGCTAGATCTAGCTTTGCTATGAGAACCCACTTGAATGTAGGCTATGCAATCTTCTTGACCGTCTGTATGTGGAAGACATCAATGACACAGAGGGTGAAATAGATGTTCCAGTTGTGAGCAACTAACACATTATTATCCTGAACATTTCACAGATTACCACAAAAACCCTGTTCACGGCAAATTTTAAATTTTAGACCCGCAGGCAGACATGCACTGTTTTCAGGCATACCCTCTGAAACCCCCCATGTTGTTACAAACAAGTCAAATATTACTATGCCATTGGTCCTATTGAATTGTACTATAGTTCCTATTTATAATTTATATATATCCATAATCTCATTTTGCAGTGGACATAAAGTCAACATTTGTGTAAAGCAGATAAAAATGAGTACTTTAGAATGCCTGAGAAGCTTGAGATGGATCCCTGGGTTTTTTTATAGTAGAGGGTTTTACGGCGCTCGCAACTTCATAAGGTCATATGAGCGCCAAGGGGTGGGTGTCAACAGAGAAGTCTTTACAGGGAATCAGACTTAGACTGTTCACCTCTCTAGCTTCAACAGCACAAAATCTGCTTCGACTATCAAGGCACCCCGGAAATAGCAGGTTACAAGAGAGTGACAAACATACAAAAGAAGTAAAGGAAAATGACAATGGTAAGGATCAGGAAAGAAAAAGCAGCAGTTCCCTGTTGTAGATCAGGCACAGTTAAGAGTGTGACATGAGTCAGCCCATTTACAATTCTACTATGCTTGAACGAGAAATGTCCCCCCTTTGGGAATGGCCTAAAGACACTACAGTCAGTGGCGCTGCCCCGGGGGGTAAGGGTCCCTGTTTACGAACTTTGAACTGAACACACTGACAAAAGCAGATAAACCATTTTTTTTTAGTAAGAGTTTTACAGCACTTGCAACACAATAAGGTCATATAAATGCCAGATATTAGAAGTGTTACAAAAAAGAAGGAGGATAGATAAGAACGATAGATGTTTGATAGGAAAAAAGGAGCAAACCACACCAGAGCACCCACCAACCACCCACAAGCAGATAAATGAAAAAAAATGAACAACCACAGCAATAAATGTGAGTATAAAAATTAATTTTATTTCCCAACTCTTAAATATATATTTTTTATTCTTCATTTGGTAAATTTTTACTTTTACACCCACACACAAATGCACTGATTTTGAGGGCGAAACTGCCATAATTTTTGCTGCAGAACACTCGTATGGCCACTAAAACCCTTGCAAATCATAGTTTTCAAGTAAATATCAATTCTAATTGCCAAAACATCAAATCACGGGCACATGTTGTTTAAAACAAGTCAAATATTACTACGCCATTGGTCCTACTGTAATATAGTTCTGTCTTCAAACATCAATACAATAACTTAATAACTATTGATTTACGGCAAAAATGAAGGCCATATATGTGTTCAGCCTGCAAAATACTACTAGAAAAGAAAGGATGTCTTCAGGAGAAGTTGTCCCGGCTTAACTCCATAGAAATTTATACATTCACAATAGGAAACAAAAACAGAAGTCGCATTTTTTTTTAAAAGGGGGGAGGGTGGGGAGGCAGGGAGGTGTGAAGGGCTCACTCCTGCTAAATTCACAAAAAATAATGGTTTGTGACAGTATTTTTAGTGCCAAAATTGTTCTTAGCACACTAAAAACCATTAAAATAATGCCAAAAAATAGTCTAAAATGGGTTTGGACCCTTTCTATAAATTTACAGGTGGCTTTTTCACCCTAGCAACCCAGTCAGCTTTTTTACACGACTTCCCATTTTGTTTCCGATTTTGCGTATAAGTTTCTATGGAGTTAGGCTGGGACCACTTCTCCTGAAGAGTGCTGAAAAATAGTATAAAACGTGCACATGAGACCAGAGCATGAGTAAAAAAAACTTTACTTATTGTGGTAGTTATGATGTATGATATAAGTTTCTAGCTTCAGTGGGATGTGTTTTATGACTATTTTTCTGACATTACCTTGTGTTATTTAGCAAGACAAAAATAATCTGCCACTGAGGGACCATGGAGTTCAGAAACAATAATCCACCACTCCAGAGCATGTCGTGCAAGAAGCCAAAACAAACATTAAAAAATCATATAAATGGAATTGCACGTAGGCAAATAACTTTAGCTGCACATTTCATTCGCTATGGGGGTAAAAAAAAATAAAGATGATTTGGGCGTCATTAGAACGAGAAAACTTTCCTCTCTATAACATACTGATAATCGGCATGAATCAGAAAGGAGGAAATTTGTTAAAAAAGCTGTTCAATGGTATAGTATCAAAATAGTAATCAATAATACCCCCCCTTCCGGAGTCCAATAAAATACTTCACAGAGCTCAGACTGCCGGTACTCACACGATGCCTTATCATGTGATGCTAACGCGCAGGTTCACTGACCGGTCACGATGGTGAGCCTGACAAGATGCTTGTATTAATTTTTATTTTTTTTTGTGTCACAAGTGACAGCACAGAGGACAAATATTGATTTATTTTCACGGCGACACAGCATTTACCTGTATGTTACAAATGGTGTGTTATGTATCAGACTATTACCGGAAAATTTCTGGGTGGTAACGAAAGCGAGAGTAGATCTTGATATTTCCTGATCAAGCCTCGGTGTCACACATACACTTCCACCTGCCACCATAGCCGCCTGTTTGCGTGAAACGTACTCTCAGACCGGGAAAAGCTGAATGAATATCACAATAGTGACCGGCAAAATGAACTTAAGGATGTTATCGGATTTGGTTTTCAAATATTCAAAAACTAAAAATGCATTTTTCGGGTCTTTCTCTGGGCAATTTACAGAGTTCCTCAAATTCTCTGGTCTCTGCGATTTTTTTTCAAATTACCAACTGTCTAGATAGCTGCACTACTAATATTACACAGGCCCTGTCCTTTCCCGACTTCCCGACCCATCACAAAATTCCAGACTTTTTCCTGATTTCCCGACCCATCACAAAATTCCAGACTTTTTCCCCGATTTCCCAACCTGGTGGGGACCCTGTTTTCATCTCCCCTGTTGGGCACGCTATGGCCATTATTGTTGCAACTGATTTTAGTGCCAGATGCCCCTTATTGTCTTATTATACATCTGGTTGTGACTGAGGGTTGTTTACGCTTCTGGTGCTGTCCCCTCTGACACAGAAATTCCTCCTTCCGTCACTGGAACTTTTATTGAGTAGTGGCTGCGTGTCCACCTATTGTGAATAGCATTCTGAAGAAATGCCGACCCTGAAGAGTGTTTACAAGTGTAAGGCCATTACATCTACAGTCGAACCTGCCTTAACGGAAACCTGTGAAAAACGGAAACCTGTCTTAACGGAATCTCCCCGCTCCCCCCTTGATATATATTCCTCTTTAATTACCTGTATAAAACGGAAACCTGTCCAACGCGGAAACGGAAAGAAAAATCCGCTTCCTTTCGAGGGTTTCACCTGTCAAAGACGGAAATGCTTTGCCCGCTCAGCCCTGATTAGAAACAAAACTCGCAAGTTTGGTTCCGCCGGCTCTAAACTTAACGCCATGGCCATGCCGCTGGGCAAGGAAAGGGAGTAGGGGTGAAATGGGGGTAGAAGTCACCCCATCATGAGAGCCCTGAGCGATACAGAAGGTCAGAGTAGTGTGGGTGTGATATCTCTCATGACTGCCCCTGAGAGTGCTCGAGTAGCGAGCCCTTAGGAAACTTTCCTGGGTAACCAAAAGCCAAAGGTGTGAAATTAGACTGACCAATGCCAGCTGCCCTGATCGTACGGCCAGCCGAGAAAAGAGTTCCTCGAATCGTTGTTACATTGATGGCAGTGACGGGTGGCATTGGTTGGTGGGCGGGACTAAGGGTGGAAGCCAAGGAGATGTTCAAACGTTTCTGTTTTTAGTAATAGGTCAAACAGTGGTCCTATGAAAGGCAAGCACAGGTGGTAATTGGATAAGTAAGACTGACACATGTCATTACCAGACAGGATAGCAACTGAGAGGTGTGAAGTTTTGACCACTGCTTGCCGATCGGACAAGCGATCCTTGATCCCACCGGCACCCGCTGGGCCTTTGACTCCCCCCCCCCCCCCCATCTCCCCCTAAATTCCCCTGTCTAAGACGGAATTTTTTCCAGCTCCCTTGCGATTCCATCTTACACAGGTTCGACTGTACGTGCCGACAGGGGAAGATGGAAAGCTGGAGAGAAGCACTGCGCAACTAGATCTAGATTCTAGATCTAGACTATAGCCTACGTGGCGCCGGAGAATAGCCATCGATCTATTGACCAACGCTGCGCCAGAGAATAGCCACTTGCTTTTAATAATCATGGTAATATTATGGTCTGATATTTGATTATGCTGGAAACGTAAGTTTTGCAAAGTTCTTGCAAGGAGTGAGGGGAAGGTGAGGGGTAGGCCTAGAATCTAACTCACTGTGGACACTAGACTACTCACCACAGTCACAATCAGGCTTTGCAAAATGCCCTCCCTGTTTCAGCGAAATGTGCTATTAAGGATGTTCTTAGAGGTGCAAAGCTGTGAGCGTGCTCCGTTGCACCTTTTTGCTATGAAGTATTACCCATAACAAGTAACAAGTATCTTTACTACTACTGATTTTCCTGTTACTCGTACCCGCGACCTGTGTCGTGGCATAAACAATTGGAGTACGAAAATGCGGTTGATTGCTACACAAACCAGCAATGAGCTTTAGCGGTTGACTGTAAAACAATTTTTGTAATACGCAGAAAAAAATCAAATACTATAAATTTACGTTTATTCTATAACTGATCATATTTTTAGTATCTAAAGTATTATTTTGAAAGTAATATTGCATGCAATATATTTTTTTCTTTAAATATGTGGTCCTTTCCTGCTGACAAATCATTACTTCGTTATGCTGCGAAATGGGTTGTGTTTTTAAACGATCAGTACTTTGTTGAGCTTAGTCACGGCGGCCAAACCATCAGTGTACTGCTAAGGAAGTAAAGGGATACTCAGTCACTCAACTTTTGTTTACTTTCTAAACTGTCAAAATGTCCAGAGGTAGTAGTGCTGGTTTTGATCGGTTTATTACCATTTTTTCGCCAGAGGGTCGTCTGTACCAAGTTGGTAAGTTGTGTGTTATATTTGCATTGTAACTTGACCTATTGTCGATAGCGGGGATTGACTCTTTGAGATCTCTTTGGCTTTGGCCTTTGGAAACTAGAAATCTAGATCTTGATCTAGAGACTATATCTAGATATAGATCTACAAACAATAAATAGCAGCCTACCAGCCAGTGTAGGCCTAGAGAATTTAGAAAATAAATAAACTGGCCCTATTTTCTCCCAAAAAGGACAGGGATTTCAGGTCTTACGCAAATTGGGCACTCTTCGGGAGAAGTGGTCCCGGCCTAACTCCATTATTTTAGACATGCCGTTAAACGAAGAAAAGACGCATCTTTCTGATTGGCTGCTAATTTTAGTACTGCGATGTCATCACTTCCTGGGATACCCACATCGAACAATGTGTTTTCGGTAACATTTCGGATTTCCTAGATCTAGAAACGTAGAAAGACGCAAACTATTTTTAGGTAAGGCGCCCATCTTGTTTGACGTCAGACCAGGATACCCCTCCCATCACGTGACTACATCTAAGTATAGCCAACCGCATTGCACTAAAGATGGAAATGTCTAGACTATATATCATGCTTGGAAGGACTTCCGTAACGAGCGACCACCCCAACAAACACTACAACAAAGAAGAGACTCCCTAACACTACTCCTACCCCTACCCCAAACCTAAACTTAAACCTAAACCCTAACCCTACCCCTATCCCCTGCCCCTCTGTTCTACTCTGTCTCATAGTGGTCTCTCGTTACGGAAGTCCTCCTCATGCTTAATCTAGATCTACACCTCGCTCTCGGAAGTTCTAATGGCCGAAGAGACAGCACGTCTGCGTTTGAAGTCATGCAATGATTTTTGGAGCGGTTTGATTCCGGTCCCGGATAGTTGGGTTTTTTTTGGAAGTGGCTATCCTTACCCGGGGTGAGAATAAAAATACGATCGACCTCTCACCCCGGGTGAGACTTGCCAGCGTTGGCTATTCTCACCTGGTGTGAATCAAGACCTGTTTTTCCTCATTTCAGAATGCTGTCTCTCGGTGTGGATGATCTTGATAAAAGCCTTGAAAAAATGACATTATAGCACAAAAGTAAGATAATTTGGTCGTCTACAAAGATGCTATGGCTATTTAATTTTTCTAATCGAGCCGAACTAAGCGGGTCGCCATTTTGTTTTGCCGGGAAGTTCTCGCTAGATCTACTCCTCCTCTCTCTCTCTCTCTCTCTCTCTCTCTCTCTCTTTCTGAATACTGTCTCTCGGTGTAGACAATCAAATTGACCAAAGCAAAGTTAAAAAATGATGTTAAAACACAAAAGTAAATTAATTTGGTCGTCTACAAAGATGCTAATGCTATTTAACTTTTCGAATTGAGCCGAACTACGCGGGTCGCCATTTTGTTTTGCCCGGAAGTTCTCGCGCTAGGCCTACTCCTCTCTCTCTCTCTCTCTCCACTGCCCACAGACAAAATTGCACGCTTTTAGGCTAACAGTAGTAATTGAACGTTTGTTCACGGCACAGAATTCTACAATTCTGTTATCACTGTGTAGAATTCTGTGGTTCAGGGTGAACGCTACACTGGTTGGCGAAGGCTATAACATGGTGAACGCACACCGGGTGAGAATAGCCAAAAGACTCACCTGCGCTATTAGAGGTGGCCTTTCTTTTTTTCTCTTCTCCTCCTCCCGACTGACCAACAGTACCTTAAATTATAATTTGTAGAGCTGCTTTGAAGTTTGTTTGTTTTTTAATGTATATTAGTGATGAAGAATGCTGGAGAGGGGGGGGGGGTAGATCTAGATCTAATCCTCCAGTGTCTTTACAGCAATTTTCATGCGGGTTTACTGTCTTTGTGTTTACCGTGTTTCAATTTCAAGCATCAGCGTTCTTAATCTTACAGTGAGCTGGGCTACCCAGGAAGCGCGCAGGCCCTATTATAGGGATGACCTACTTCGATTTGGAATCACGCAGCTATAAAGGGCATAGACGCTGACCTTTTTTCAATGGAAACTTTCAGTATTCCTTATATGGAAAATGACGTAGTAAATTACGGGTCAAAGTTATAAATAGTGACCAATGACTTTGCAAGTTATCTGGACCACGTAGAGCGTCTCTTGGCCAAAGATCAAACATAACAAAATAGTTCACTCAGCCAAAAGGGTGTCTGCGGAAGTCCGCACATTGGTTCAGATGATGCTGCAGTTTTGTTTTGAAGCTCTCTTTCGTCTCACTCGAAAAGAAGAATAGGAATAGCCCAGCTTGTTAATTTGACTTTTATATATATTTTCACACAAGTAGGGTAACTCTGATCGCAAAGTCCGCACTTTTTTTAAGAGGGCGCCACCGAATATTGAGGACACTTTTTTAATTGGCTCAATTATAGAGGAGTGAACTATCTTGTTATACACAATCTTTATCTTGGCCAAGATATCGATTGATAAAGTGACGCGGTCCTGCTGAGCGATTATCAAGGCGGGGAGCATACTTCTCTGAATCTAAGGGCCGTACGAAGGGAGGGCCGTACGCATAGCCACGAGGCTATGTGTATGGGAGGGAGGGCCGTACGCATAGCTATGAAGCTTTACGGCGTATGGTGCCGTACGCATAGCCACAGGCTTTTTTTAAGGCAACTTCCAGTTTTGTTTCCGATTGTGTACGTAATGTATAGATGTCTATGGAGTTAGGCCGGGACCACTTCTCCCGAAGAGTCCCGCAAATTGTATCGTGCAGTCTTTTGTGGTAGATGTAGATTTCTAGATCTAGACTCTAGCGTCTCTCTGGACACAGTGATAGGCCTAAAGTGCAGGATTTTAACTCTTCTCCTACGTCTGTGCTGAGATGCGAAACTTATCAGCAACCGATTACGTCGGACGTCAATTGGCGCATTGGGGATTGCACATGCACTGGGTCAATGGGCGCATTGTTCACACAGGCGCCCCACTTGTCTTCTTTATTGCTGTAAAATTTCAGGTCACTGCGACTAGTACTTTTTACATACCAACTTAAAATTACCACTGTTTACCCAGTCAGTAACAAAGGACGTCAATGTGAACTTGCGAAGGAAGTGTCGCTTGTTCTCCGGGTCGAGTGATGGTGACCCATTTGTTTGTTTTACCATGGCACTCGATCTTACTCGTCTGACACATTTCGTTTTATTGTCACCCTTGCACAAAATGAGCAACAAAATAAAAACAAGCAAACTAAAAACAAACCAAGAAAACAACAACAATGTTGCAACCTTCGGTTGGGACCTCAGAAAGGAATGGTTTGTTTTCTTCATCTTGATCAGTCCTGCCTAAGACGGCCACCTGTCTTATACAGTCAGTTTTCTCCTTGACAAATGGTGGCCGTCTTACACAGGTTCGACTGTATTTATGGCCATAAAAAGTTGATTTTGAATGTGTGTAGCCTCCCATCTTTTGAATGATATTCATTTTTTAATGTCTGTTTTTTCTGTTACAGAGTATGCTTTCAAAGCTATAAACCAAGGAGGACTGACGTCTGTGGCAGTAAGAGGAAAAGATAATGCTGTTGTTGTGACACAGAAAAAAGTCCCTGTAAGTTAACCATCTTTGCCTTTTTTACTTATGTTCATTTGTTCATACTCTGTATGTCAAGTTTGATTTTACCCCCAGTGTGTCGGGGGGATATAAATAGAGGTGTGTAACCCCTTCAAATGCGAGGTGTCGCACACGGACCCCAACCCTCTGGGATCCGGATGCGACACCGACTTTGGTGTGTCTTCCTCTTCTCCTTCCTTCTTTCTTTCTTCTTCTATCTTTAGTCCCTCTGCTGACCTCATGTGCATCAAAAAGAGAGGTCACCCATCCACAGAGTGGGCACCTTGTTGACCGTGAGGTGCGACCCGTGCGGAGGGAAACCGTGTACCTGGCGGTTGAGGTGAGATCAGTCTACGGACTATCCCTCACCAACACGCCTCTTTGGCCCCGGTTTTCCTCTTAGACGGGAGGGTGGCACGGCCCGTGCCACTCAATCGGTTGGGAGTTGAAACCCCTTCAAGCCCTGAGACATGAAATTGAAAGCTCACACATGTGGATTATGGGCCTGAGAGAGGCATAATCAGTGTACTGTTTGCCGTTTGCCTACGTTTATCATGCACATCATTAGGCCTAGTGAGGTAAAGGATCGCGAATGAACATTTGTTTGCTCACCCTACACATGATTTAATTTAATGGCACTAGTGGAGTTTTGCGATTTCACTGGCATTGGGCTTTCTTTCTAAGTTCTCTTTTTTTTTCTTTTTTTTGGGGGGTAAGTGTTTTACGGCGCTCTCAGCTGCATAAGGTCATATGAGCACGCGGGACACATTAAACGTTTTCAGTTGGTGGGACATTTTGAATTTTGCCCAGGTGGCGGCCGAAGCCTACTCTTTTCGATTTTAGACTACCAAGAGATCTTTAATGTGTGCAACTTTCACACGGGCTCTACAAGATTTTTAGCCCTTGTCCGAGAAGGCTGGATGTAGATCTTTCCTACCGGAAGATGAGAGGTGTGGCTGAAAGACTGCAGTAAGGAGCCAAGGAGTAGCAGTAGAAAGGCTGCAGAAAGAGTCAGGAGCCCAGAGGAGGGGACAAAGGAGGTGAGGGGGTGGGGGCAGAAAGAGGAGACGAAAGCATTGCTAGAGAGCGAGAAGGGAGATGAAAGGAGACAATTTTAGAGAAGAAAATTTTTGGTCGCTACTCGGATTCGAACCCGGGACCTTTGAATGAGAGGCCAACACCTTAATCTCTAGGCCCCGAGAGCCCCTCTCACTTCTCTATTGACTCTTTCATTTGTTCAGCAAGCTGACAATGATCAGATTATATCAACACTTACTGGAAAGATTGAAGTACCAACACGTACCTTTGACAAGTTTCGTAATGTAAGCCTTTTTTATGCTTTTTTCTCAGGACAAACTGTTGGATGCAGAAACGGTATCACATCTGTACAAGTTAACAGACACGATAGGATGTGTCATGACGGGAATGATTGGTAAGAATGTCCTTATAAGAAGCTCCTTTCACTCACTATTTCTCTTGTCGGTCACTAACTTGTTCCATCTGCAGCCCCACTTGTAAGTACAATGTATTTTCTTTCTCATTGCTTCTGTTATTTCGGTCTGAATATCTTACTTTTACTCTGCTCTAAATGACTGTTTTTGTTTCTATGTGTATCTCTTTACTCCAACAAACTCAGTCTGGATTTGGCAACTGTTGCAGCCACCCTTCCACTACTACAGGTCTGGAGCACACATCCCCTGCAAGTGGTTGGTGGGTGCTCTGGTGTGGTTTACTCCTTCTTTCCTATCAAACATCTGTCATCCGTATCTCTCCTCCTTTTTTTTGTGTTACTTACTCTCTAAGCTCTTGTAACACTTCTAATCTTCGGCACTTTTATGACCTTACTGTTTTTCAAGTGCCGTAAAACTCTTACTAAAACTAAAAGCACTTATCTTTAAAGGCTGCCAGAACTGCTCTGTATTTTAAAAAATCATATTTTGAAGAGATTATTCAGAATAACAAGACTTTATTATTCTTTCCCTACTCTAGGTGTGTATTGCTTTTTCCTCAGACAATATCTCACACTTAGATAAATCACTATTTGCCATATATGACATAGGTGTCAATTATCTTAACTGATTCCGTCCATGATTTTTTCAGGCTCTGGACAGAATTTTTACCTGTTCAGTTTTAGACCTGGGGTGCATCTATTTAATGCATTACTGTGAAGCTCTAAGTTACTCTAATATGTATTGTCATATACCAAACTGATGGGAATCAATAAAAGAATCTGTTTATATCGATAACAATGACCTATAATCTGTTTGTATTGCATTTTCCTTCAGACAAAAACGAAAGCGAAAAAAAAATTGGGCAACAGCTCTTAGAAAATTTTGACTTACCGCATTTTCTCAGCTCTACAAGTCCTTATAATCCATAGGAATCAACACAAAATTGTAGCGATATCACCCTAGCACACATTTATGCAAGAATTTCACAAATTTAGTTGAATATCTTTCTTTGAAGGGCCTTTTTATTATACCAGGCTCCGTGTTGTTTACCCTTAGATCTAGCCTACATAGCGACAACAAAACAATTATTTTTTCAAGAATTTCGTGGAGTTTCGATCGATATTGGCGCTCAGAGATTGATGTCAGGTTTGTTCACAAGTTCTACTTCCTTTCGACAACTTAAAAAGTAGGAACTATGTTAAAAAGTGAACATTTGTTTCGAATTTTGTTGAGCCACTCACAGCGGTCGAATGGAGGCAGCGGAAAAACTCAGAGCCGCTGTCAGCGGCCGAATGGACGGAATCAGTTAAGGGGGCTGAGGTTTTGGCTGATATTCACCGATTGGGGTGGAATATGTCATTTAAAAAATTTATTTGTCTTTTATTTTCATAACCCCTAGAATCGATTCCAACAGCTTCCAATGACGGCAGTACACTATAAAAAGCATTTTAAAGTTTTTTTCTTTGTACAGTACTTGTTTGTGTTGTTAGTTTCCATGCTAAAACCTTATGGATGATTTTCTGAGAGGTTGATGTCATAGAGTTAGTTCAGCTAAAAAAAAACCATCACATTTCTAGCCTACAAACTTCGCTCATATTACGATAAAGTGTAAAATGTAATAAATAAAGTTTTTCCCCAATGACTTATCAAGCGAAAAAAATTCAGGCCTTTCCGTAAAGCAAAATTGATTAAAATAAAATTTAACCACCTAAATTGTAAAAATTTAAAAATTTAAAAAATTCAACAACAAAAAAAGAAAGGAAAAATCTTTACTTTTTTTCAAAATTATATAGTTATGAGGGACCCAGATTTACACTGTATTGAATGTTTTGTAGCATTTTTAATCTTCCTAAGTGGAATAGTTTTCCAGCTGAACTTAATTTACGTTTTGTGTTTATTTTCTAAATGGCCACCTTTACCATAGCAACGTGGACATTTATGCAATATCTTAAGACAGATTTATTTTGTCTTTGCTATAGGAAGTAATATAGGAAAGTTTGAATTCATAAGTCCTGATAATAACAAAGGTGGATATTACAGCCACCTCTTTGCACTTTCGTCTCAGTTTGACCTTTGCTTGGAAGGTTTTATCCTTGTGTTTCTCTTTTTGTTTCCTTTTACTGCTCACAGCCGACAGCAAATCTCAAGTGCAGCGTGCCAGATATGAAGCTTCTTCCTGGAAGTACAAGTATGGCTATGATATCCCTGTGGACATGCTGTGCAAGAGAATAGCTGACATCAACCAAGTCTACACTCAGAGTGCAGAAATGAGACCTCTTGGCTGCTGTACGCTCACATTTCTTACTTGATGCTCTAGAAAAAGTCTTGTCAGCCTTCACTGGTAGAAGTAGAAGTATATATTTTTCTGAGTGCTGTGTCTTGTCACTATGCACTACTGGTTTTGCTTTGCTTTACTGAGATGAGTGTTCCTAAATATTTAATTCTGCTCGTGTCCTTAGGCTGCAGGACTGACTCAAGTCTCTCTAGTACAGGGATGGGGGTTACACTGATACATGATGCAACTTCTTGGTGGGAAACATAAAGGGAAGGTACCTCAATAATAGTTACAAGATTTTAGCTGTAACTTCCCTTATAATTGGTGTCAAAACAACCTCTGTCATAGTCCCGTAAATTCTACGGGCCATAGGCACAGCCCTACGTGGTTCGGGCCCAGAAATTCTACGGGTGCGGCAGCGAAGAGGTTACGCACTTTGCTGCTGTCTTTCACATCTGTTATTTTCAAGTATGATACAAGATTTACCACTCATTTTTGCCAAAAGTTTGCGAACCATGTAGGTTTAAATATCCGTCTAAATAAATTAATCTATCCATCAGCTTAGGAGTCAATAGCAAGTTTTGGTGTCTTGATGATATCAAAGAAGAAAAAATATTGTTGGAAAATTTTAATGATTCTCATCTTGCTTCATCTTCTCAGGCATGATCCTGATTGGTTATGATGAGGAGTATGGCCCACAAGTGTACAAGACAGATCCGGCTGGATATTATTGTGGATTCAAGGCCACAGCTGCTGGGGTCAAACAGCTAGAGGCAAACAGTTTCTTGGAAAAGAAAATCAAGAAGAAAAATGAGTTCACGGACAATGAAGCTGTTGAGGTAATTAAAACAAAAAAGAGGAGGAAAACTGGTCGTAAATGTGTGTGTTTTGGAGAATTTTGATTGTTTGGAGATAGAGAGGCCAAGTCATGTATCATGGTGCACTGGACAGGAAAAGAGGTGTTTAAATGTAAGCCAAACCTACCACTCATCCCGATTGAATCGGGATATATTAATTTTTTAATTTTTCGTTCCATCTGTTCTGTTCAAATATCAAAATAGAGAGTTCAACCGTAACATATCAAAATTTATTCAACATAGAAAATTGAAACATCAAAATAGAGGGAGCAATTTAATGTAACACTGGAAAGTTCAAATATCAAAGTAGTGCTGTCAAATGTAACAATAGGGAGTTCAAATTCAACATTGTCAGTTCAAATTCAACACATAATTTTAAGCGCAATAGGTTGTTTGACATGGTCTTGAGCACACTGTATTGGTCAATTGATTTGTTAAATAAAAATAGGCGAACAGTACCCTGGCGATACCTCTCTTTGGCTTGCAATCACCACGTATGCGTTTTTGTGTCTCTTTTGTCTGTTTCACCATCTTTAAATGCATAAGACTTGGATTTATGTGTGTTACTTGAGGGTTGCTGAGGGTTGCCAGTTAGAAGTACATGTAGAGGCATTTTGGCTTATCGATGGTTTTCTTACGGACATAGAATTTAAAAAAAAGCGGAGAGTCCATTTTCTTTTGGTTTTCATCTGTTTTTGTATCATCCATATTCTGTTTGTTCTTAAATTAACTTATTCCCATGTGGCTTTGTTCTGAAAAATGACACCCTTTCCTCAAATAAAGCATTAAGAAAAAAAAACATTGTCAACAAAAGAAACTTGATAAATAAAATGCAGATGATAGATAATTATAGATTACAGTTATAATTCATTCAAATAACAGTTGATGTTTTTGGGCTTGTCCCCATTTTCCAGTTGGTCAAGGACGGTCCACTGGTCAGTTCTTGATTTATCTTTTTCTTTTTCTTGGCCCATGTCTTCTTTAGTTGATTACATTATCATCTAGTTCATTTTATCCTACATTGTTATAACCATATATAGAGATCACTGTCAAATTGATAATTTGAAGATACAAACTTGACCCTTGGGTGAAAATATTCAAGAGATTGGTGGACAAAATCATCAGGTTTAAAGATAACTTTCTTTCTATATGCCCAATAGTGTATTTAAAAATATAATATGAAGAAACCAGTTGATTTCACCTTCCAAAAATCATGTTAACATTGGAAAACAATTTGTCCTTTATAATTAGTTACAGGGAAATGGAGAGTATGAAACTATTAAGCAGCAATGGTCAATCAAATCTAGGGGCACACGAGGGTTTGCCAACAGTGGTCAATATAGACTGGAATGTGTTAAAAAGTTTCCACTTTATCCTCAAATTTTCAGATGGCGATCACTTGTCTGTCTACGGTGCTATCAGCTGACTTCAAGGCCGCTGAGATTGAGGTTGGGATTGTTTCAAAGGACAACCCAAAATTCAGGTAAGACATGCTTGGTTCTCATGTATAACACTTTCCACCCACCCAGCATGCAAAGCGCACAACCTTTGTCCCCACGTACCAGGATGCAGATGGGGTACATCACTACTATACCTGTATCTTGGCAAATATACCCCAATCTTTATGAAATTTTCAGCACATGATAACGGAAAGGCAGCCGGTATTTTCACAACATCTCATGGGGGAAAAATGTATGCGCCTTTTCACGGCTTGTCGTGGAAAAAGAATTTACGTGCGTTTTCACGACATGTTGAAGGCATACTGGCTCTTACCACAGAGGTCTAGGCCTTTTAGTATTAGCTAAAATACTGGAGGTTTTTGGGGGTTTTTTTGGTGGTAGATCTAGATCTAGTTTCCGATTTTGGACCTGTTCTACCGCCATTCTGATTAATGTGTCAAACTACCGGATTTGCGATGGGTGCCAAGAGTGCTTCCAACTTTCCCTTGCGAAACCCGTAGCCTACATCCCGAAATTCTGTACTTGCGGCGTCATCATCTATATACTCCGCATTCATTGGAGATGTTTCACGCAGCATTTGCGAGCACCAATATTTTCCCGAGAGGCAGTTCGCGCACCCCCTGCGAGCACAAGTTTCTCATTTTTTCCTCTGCGAAGTATGCATGCAAACACTGGGTGAACTGACTCTTACCATGCAGCCGACCTTTGTTTCGTTTTGTGCAAATTTTCACCGGAATTGGCTTGAAACTCTTTGAAGTAAAGTTAGTCACACCGAGGCCCTTCTTTCATTTCTCTGACTGTCTGTTCTCGCAACACTTTGTCAGTACGATGGCAGCACGTTTAGTTTTAGTAAGAGTTTTACGGCACTTGCAACACAATAAGATCATATAAGTGCTGAAGTTTAGGTGTTACAAGAGAGTAACAAACACAAAAAAAGGAGGAGAAATCAGGATGAGAGTTGTTTAATAGGAAAGAAGGCTTTCTTGCTTCTCAGACGGCAGATCTAGAATCTAACCCTCAGCAGTAAGTTGTAGCAAAGAGAGAATCTTTGGTTGTAGGCCTATTCCCGTTCACTCAACTATTGTCCGTCTGTGCGGCTCAGTCGTGAAAAGGATTTTTTTTTTTAAAGTGAAATTGGGCTTTGGTTTTGACACATTAAAAATCGAACGCGTAAAAAAGGGTGAAAAAAATTATTAGATGGCTTGGTGATAATTGTACCGTCAGGAATGATGTTCCCGGATTTGCGTAGCCTACTGTCAGAGATGTGATGACAAATTGAATAGTGGCAATGGAAAAATGTTATTTTCAACCCTTGGAAAGCTTTAAAAATCTATCATTAACACATTACACCCTAAGGGTCTGGACGGGAAGTCCATTGTTAGATCCTAAGCAAGGGGAAGGAACCCACCTCCCTTGAATACAAGCCTTTAAAAAACGCATTTTAAAAATACTTAACAAAATCCAAAAATCCAGAAAAAAATAAATTTAAAACTAATAATGAATGTAGTTTCAGAAAAATATAACTTATGTATGCGCGTACTGTTGGAAATGTTGTAACTTTGGTTCAATCGGGGTGTCCAACCCGTCACTCTCAGTCTCAGCCTCGCTGTCGGGCCCTAGATCTAAATTCTAGATTTTCTACGTCTGATCAATCTGAATCGCCCCAAACTCTTGCTACTACGTTTTCATCAAAATCTGAGTCATCTGATTTGTCATATGCTAGTTTTTGCTCAAATCCATCGTTATTTAGTTTTTCGAACTCAATTGTGTTGCTTTTCAACAAGTCGAGACACCTACAAAGTATCGATAACGCGATCACACTTCTATCGGCTCTAATACTAAAACTACGCGCCCGAAAAATTTCGTTTCGGTATCAAATGAAAGAAGAAACTTTTTGCAATAACTATGCAAATCGAAATCTCGGCCCCAGAGTCTCGTCAAGGCAAGACTTCGTTTCTAAAGACGCTAGGTCGGCACGGGCGAGTCAGGGTGGAGCGCGTAAGGGAATTCCCGGGCGGTCCCGGGCGAGTATGTGTGTTACATCTGGGCTCTACTTTCACATCTCTTAATGAAGAAGAGCCTTTTTACAAGTACAAGAACATGTAATTTTTAAAAATGCGCAGGAAGTTCTAGATCTATGTCACAGTAGGCTTTTGTAGGCCTAGATTCTAGGTCTAGCCATCGCCAGTAATCGTTTGCCGCTTAGCCAGAGAGAGCTCGAGGGGTTTCTTAGAGTAAGGGGTAGGCCTAGATCTAATTAAGTAAGGAAGACTCAAGATCTAACCTTGAATGAAAATATCGATCAGTGTATAATGTATGTGATTTCAACCCTCTTAATTGATGTTACAAATAAATATACCACCAGGGAAGTAAAATCAAAACTTAGTGCAGTGTCTTTGATGTGTCTCTTCTGTCGTAGCTTTCATATCAATTTACAAATCAAGAACAGGTTGAACTTGAAGTACTGCCACTCCGCCAGGTAATGCAGTGTTTCGACTCGTCTTTGATTGTGTTGTTCTTGGGGGTGACTGATTTCAAGGATTTTTTGCAGAAAATATTATACTTTGTACCGCAGTACTTTCAAAATTCTTCCTCAAACTCACGATACGATTTAAAAATTTCGTCCCGCTTTGAAGGGATGGGGATTTGCATCCGCCATTCTTATTGAGAGAAAGAGAGAGAGAGAGAGAAAAGCATGGCCAGCAGAGGGCAGACCTGGCATGACCCAGCTGTTTACTGATTGGTCCAAGGAGTAAAACAGGTCATGAAAAAGTGCCTCAATTTTTTTTCCCTGACATGTCGTGAAAATACCGGCTGCCTTAAGGAAATGAAATTTGACGATTGCATGTTCACCAAAAAAGGAATTACAGTGGAAGCCATATATAAAACAGACCCGGTAATAACAGGGATCCGGTAATAACAGGGCTTTTTTAAATCCCCGTTTTTTCTACTCTTTGTCTCTATTAAAAGTTATCGGCAATAACAGGGCCGCGTCGGAGCCCAATCGGTTATATCGGGGACAAAGGCTCGTTAACTATGTGTAAAAAGTGAGAGAGAGACAGTAACGCAGTGATGGAGCAAGCCCATGAATGCTAGCCACGCCACTGCAAGCACACGCAGCGGGTGAAGCAAGAGAGGGCTGCGGACGCAGTGTGCTGCAGACTTCGATCTTGCCCTAAGCCTAGCTACATGTACGCGTAATATGTCATGCTTAATAGTTTCACACTCTCGATTTACCTGTAACTAATTATAAAGGACAAATTGTTTTCCAATGTTATCAAATATCGGAGTCCACTGTAAAATTAGAACTAAAACCATTTTATCTAGCACATTCATCACCTGAATCCTCGTTGTGGCATCAGTGTAAAGCAGTGCTCAAGCTAGGTCTGCTTGGCATTTTCACCAAAAAAGAGTCACTCCAATTAAATTGATTTTTGCACTCGTCCACACAAATCATTCAGAAAGGAAATTGTAACTTTAACAAGTCTAAAAGGAGCTCATTGCACGTTTTTGTTGCTATATTTCACTGTCGCTGATCAGCATCTCATGGGAAAAAGTGTGTCAAAGAGGCAGTGGAACGAAGAGGTGGTTTCTAGACAAGGAACTGAAGTTTGGCGGGGGGGTTAGCAAGTAAGTTTGGTTACTAAGATATTTTTAACTGTCCTTATTGTATAGATTTTTATATGCCTTTGTCATTCTTCAAATAATTTGCCCAGTGTTTTTTATGTCAAACTGGACGTGGGTAGTTGCTTTTCTTTAACTTGTTTTTTTTTTTCCCCGGCCGTACTTGACCATCTGTGTGTGGCTTTCCTTGTCTTGAAATCTGAAAAAGAGACCTTACTAAATAGTTTTTCTGGTGTTCTATGATGTCATCTGCGAGGATTCGTCAGTCATTTTCTGAATATGGTGTATGTCTGTTGACAAGTGTTTAAGATTGGATTTCATAACAATAATAATAATAGATAGCATTTGTATAGCGCATATCCCCACTCAGCAGCAGGCTCTATGCGCTTTACACTATATTATTACCCCAGCAGACCATAGAACACTCCTAAACATTCTCAGCTTCCCGGGAAGCATACAGTGCAAGCAGCCGATTAAGAGCTCAAACACTAACAAACTGACAAGATCTTTCGCTGTCTATAGCCGGGTACCCATTCCCACCTGGGTGAAGTGAGGAAAATTCGTGTAAAGTGCCTTTCCCAAGGACACAACGTCGGGCCCTTGACGGGATTTGAATGCAGCTGGACACCTGCTTGCACACAGCTTTGAACAAAATATTTTTTATGACCAAAGAGTTGGAAGTTAAAGGTAAGTAAAGCTTGTGCTGTGGGTGGTTTCAGAGTGCCACTGGTACATCCAAGTTCTTTTCTTTCCATTTTTTTCTGTCTGTCTACCTTACCTTTTTCTTACACTAAATTACTGTAAGTGTGTTGGTTCTCCTTTATCAAACCAAACTGAAACTGTGCTGAGATTATCATAGATTTCTCTTTCCCGATTTACTTTTGCAGGGTACTGGCTGACAATGAGACTGATGTTTACCTCGCATCCATTGCTGAGAAAGACTGAGATTTTTTGGTTTAAATCCTGTATCATTCTGTACGACTGGTGGTCAATAAGATATTTTTCAATGTTTTGAATGAAAGTGTTCGAAGTCAGGTAGGGGTTGGTGAAAAAGAGTTTGTGTGTGTATGTCCTGAGTTTGTAGCTGTTTTATGTAATATGTGATTTTTTTCCCCCAAAATGAGCATGTCTGATTTAAGGATGCTGCTGTCATGAGCAAATGTTAATCGCAAAAGTTTTCACAATGATATGAATAAGCTCAGAGTCTGGCTGTTGTCATGAATAATATTGGTGTATGGATTAAAACTGGGGGCATAGGAGAATGCCTTGCAGATTATTCTAATCTGTGTTTGAGTTCATAATCCAGTTTGTTCATGCTAATTACACGAGTCAGTTGATTACTTTGTCATGTTTGACTGAAAGTGACTTATTTGACAATAAAGTTTTGGCATTTCTCCAGTATTTTATTAATTTTTGTGTTAGTTGGTCAATTTCTAGTGATCCAGCAAATTGTTGTTCTATCCTGTTCTAACAGTTCCAAAGAACTCTTTTTTCAGGTGCTGTCATGGATTTCAATGGCAAAAGTTGCAGTAAAGAGCGCAGCATTTCTTGGCCCAAGCCTTGTGCTCTGTGCAAATTGAGAACCCATATGGATCACAGTCAGCCCAGTTCCGGCACTCACTGCCTTCCAGCTCGTCTGAAAAGAGAATGAAAAGCAAATCACACAAATTTTAAATGCTTTTTTAATTGTAAATTTTACACAAGCACCCGTCAATTCAATTTAGATCAATTAGGAGACAGGTTGCTTCAATTATGACTGTCCAGGCCAAACTGGGCTGCTAGAGATACAGCAAGCTAGAGGGCAGAGGAATATATACTCAGCTCCATTATAAACACCTCACTTACAGAAATGAGCTTGGAATGAAAACTATGGCATGGATTAATACAAGCATTTACATGGACGTGTGAGGATATATTACCAACAGATATTGAACAAAAGAGATGGTATAATCTGCGTTTGTGTCATGCAATATTCAACACGCTCCCATCCATAAAAAGGACAGTCACGAGTATGGGTGCCTAGTGTTGCAATGGTAGCGAGTGTTCGACACTGCATAGACAGAATAGAACATTGGATGGCTCTCTTCACTATACTATTCGAGTCTGCTATCAATGCATTACGAAAGTGGGTGGTTAGCGGGTGCTCTGGTGTGGTTTGCTTCTTCTTTCCTATCAAACATCTGTCGTCCAGATTTCTCTCTCCTCCTTTTTTGTGTTTGTTACTCTCTTGTAACGCCTCTTATCTTCGGCACTTATATGACCTTATTGTGACGCAAGTGTCGCAAAACACGTGCTGTAAAACACTTGCTGTAAAACACTTTCTGAAGCTTTACGAAATTGCTGCACATTGATGACCTGATGGTTGGTGTACACTTCTCCTTCCTTCATTATGACTTACGCAAAATTTTAACTCGTCAGGAAGCATAGCTCCTTTCCAGTCTCTTAGCTTTCACTTTTAAGTACTGGTTGTCTAAGGTGCTTGTCTTCGTAGGTGTTGCAGTTTCTTAAATCTGCTTCAAACAATTGGCGCTGAATGGTGACTGCACATACTGTTCCCCTAGTTCCCTGAAGGCTGCTACAGTGGCAGGAACTAAACAATCGCTTTGGTGGCAATACATACAAAAATACTGATTCTGTTGTGTGGCCATAACCCTGGTTTTTCGGCGACATTTCCAGTTGTCTGGTAACGTTCTTGCAGCCTTTCAGTTGTCCATTAATCAGCGTTAAACCGTGTTGCAATACACTTGTGACTTACTCTGCCGTTGAGAATCCCAATAGTGTGGTTGCGCTCTCAATGGTCAAACTTGGCATACAGTATACAGTTAGGAGTAAAAAAGGAGATCAATTTATGAACTGAACACGTTTTCTTTCTCGCAACAATTAAGTGATGATGATGAATCCCAGTTGATTCCTGCAATAGAACCACCCACCCCCCCCCCCCCCCAAAAAAAAAATTAAAAAATAGACCATAATGTTTTATGCACTTGGCACAAAATTAGAGATGACCACGCTAACAAAAGAATGTTTCCCATCTAATGGCCAGCTCACATTGTGTACTTTTCATCATACACATAATTTGTGAAACACTACGAGCATTTGAAAAGTGAGGCATTTTTAATGGAGTTGAGTATACTTCATTGAAAAAATAAACTTCCTCAGGAATTGGACTTGTGTCTTCTGTATGCAACAATGATGAACATAACCATAAAAATAAAATTATTTTCTGCTGAGACACTAGTCTAGTACTAGTGCAATAAGCGAGAATTTTTTTTTGACACTTTACAGTGCCGAATATTATTCATAATGCCTCATGAGAAAATCTAGGTCCACCTTTGTTTAGATGTAGCCTTTTATCAAATCATAATCATTCTAGCTAGAGATTAGGATTATGATGGTGAAATCTTCAAAGCCATTCTGGTCCAGTGGCTTTTCACTTAGTGTTGCATGACAATTATTTCTGCCAACAATTTGTGGACGAATCTCTTCTCTACATGTATATGGATGATGATAGATCTACAGATTCGTGATGCTTCACAGAACTCACTGTCACAACCCTCTTTCTTCTCTCTTGCTCATTTTTTAACTTGCATTATGAAGCCAATATATAATTATTTTGTGTTTTACACCCCTGTCTTTGCAATTTAGACCATTTGGGGGTTTGTGTGCTTTGACCGTGCCTGCAGGTTCAACCCAGGCTTAAGGGGTTACATACCACCAGCAAACAAACGGGGATACTTTATCCTCTGTGGAATCAAACTCGTATCGTCTGCATATAAGAGTGAAAAGCCTGACCATTACAGCACAGACGTTGGTCTTCTCTTACATAATGCCAACAATATAAATTTATGTTTAGCATGAGTTATGCTCTGACATTTTTATCATTCAGGAAACAAACTTTAAACCAGATTACTGTCCAACCTTCAAAGGTTTTAACTCCATCAAGACAAATCGAACTGTCACCCGAACCAGTCAGGATACCACAGCCAGAGGAGGAATCATAAGTCTGATAAAATCTGGCATACAACATAAAAACATAACCGAATCATACCGGGCCCCAAACGATAACACCACGGAGACACACTCCCTTAATATCTACAACTACAACGGAAACGAGGAATTCCAAATTACAATTGTGTACATTCCTCCTATCACTGCCAATGCAGAAGATCAAAGAACACAACATTTTAGCCCAGCATACTGGTCAACCTCCGAAAACTCTATGATACTAGGGGACTTAAATGGACACAGCGACACTTGGGACTTGTACCAGCCCTCAAATGCTCTAGGACTTGATATATAGAAAATTGGGTGGACTCCAATTAAATGATGGTTATAAATGACGGGTCCCACACAAGAGTTAACCCAGCCACAGGCGGCCTGTCAACGCCTGACGTCTCCATCAGTCATACGAACATTATGCTAAAGACAGAATGGGAAGTTCTGGAAAATTCCATGGGATCTGACCACCTTCCTATTCAAATTACTTTCAAAAGAAAAGACAAAACCAAAACCTAGAAAACGTCAGATCTTGCGCATAGAAAACGTCTGATCTTGCGCAAGACAGACTGGGAAAGATACTCGGAGCTACTGGAGTTAGAGTTCAACGAAAATCTAGCACAAATTGCTCAGGCAAAATCTACTGATGCCCAAAACAGTATTCTGACTAATATCATCGCCTAGATAGCAAAAACTGCAATTCCCAATGGATGCAGTGGAACTAGAGCCGCAAGGTGGAACTCAGAAGTACAAGAAGCTGTTACCGAGCGCACTAGACTAAGAAAACTAGCAAATAATAGTGAGCTTGATTGTGAACTATGGCGGGAACAGTGTACCAAGACCAGAGGCATCACCCGTGAAGCAAAAAGGAAAAGCTGGCAAAATTACGTATCGACACAAGACTCGCGTAGCAACCTATGCAAAATATGGCAAACTGTGAATGCCCTGAATGGGAAATCTAGATCATCACCTCAAGGAGCAGCTCTAATAGTTAACCAACAGACGATAACAGACAATGCAAAGAAAGCAAAGAAGTTTGCCCAGATGTACTGTGAGGTCTCCTGTATTAAGAGTGACACAAAGGCTGAACTGGAAGAAAAAGGAGAAACTATTAACATTGATCGCAAGATGTATCGAAGTAACTACACAGCAATGAAAACAACATGCCAATGCCAGAATGGAATATGCTCACCCCTGACTATGAAAGAACTCAATGCTGCCCTACAAGTTCTCAAAAATACGTCTGCAGGAGATGACGGAATCCACAATATGATGCTGACCCGTCTTCCTGAAGCTGGCCTGAATTCTCTCTTGAATATCTACAATAGAGTGTGGAAAACTACCCAATACCCAACAGCCTGGCGAAAAGGTACGATAATTCCTATCCTTAAAACCGGGAAGGACCCGGCCCAAATGACCTCGTACAGACCCATCCAACTAACAAGCTGCATTGGGAAATTATACGAGAGATTAGTAAAAGTGAGAATGACGTTCTGGTTGGCAACCCAGCAAAAACTATGCAATATGCAAGCCGGTTTTCGACCACAGCGTAGCACAGAGGACCAGATCGCCAGGATAACGCAACACATAGCCGACAACCTTCAGGACAACTCTGGACCAAGACACAGAGCAAAGAGAACCATACTCTGTCTAATAGACTTTTCAAGAGCCTTTGGCAAGAGGTGGCATACTGGACTCCTCTACAAGATAAACGCCTTAGGAATGCCCACCTGTCTACAACGACAGATCAAGGCCTATCTAGACGACAGAAGGTCCAGAGTTCGTTTTGAGGGGAAAGAAAGTCGCTACTATCGCTTCCTCGCCGTCGTCCCTCAGGGCGGAGTATTATCACCACCATTGTTCCTCACGTACATCAACGGCATCGTAGATGACCTACCCGTAGACACCAACACCAGCCTCTTCGCAGACGACCTGGCAATATGGGCATCCCATGAAAATCTTGACACTGCGCCACGATGGTTCAAGACGCTCTTATCTGAACAAGATCTGCGATTGGTCAAAACGCTGGAAGATGGAAATTAACGTGGCGAAATGCGAATACTCTTTTTTCACGACATGGAACCGTGAAATGTCCTGGCGCTTACAATGGGAGATGAGGAGGTGCCCTATAACAAAACACCTACCTTCCTTGGCGTGACCTTTGATAGCAAGTTAACATTTAAAGAACATATCAAT